TTTTTTTTTTTTTTTTTTTTGCTGCTGTTGTTGTCGTCTTTGGGTGTCGTCTATGTGCGTGTCGCGGGGGGTGGGGAGGGGGGCTCGCCCGGGTTATTGTGTGGCCTCGATCGAGAGGTGGCAAGTGATCTGCAAAGAAAGAGAGGCGGAGAAGGGGGGCAGAAAGGGACCAGAAATAACCATCGCTAGTTATATATATATTTAAAAAAAAAAAAAAAAACAAGAAAGCAAAGCCGGGGGGGGGAGAGGGAGGCCAAGGAGAATAAAAGGAGGCTGGGCTGCTTTGCATTGAAGATTGGGGCGCTATTGAAAAGCTTTTGAAAAGTGGTGTTGTCTTCCACCCGTGCGTACTTCGATTCGGGGAGTATATTAGAGCCGGACAGCGGCTGCCACAGCAGCGGCACCTTGGGAAGCGTCTCTGAGCGAAGGGGACTCTGCAGGAAAGAGGCATGCTTTTATCAAAGAGACCGCAGCTCACGGAGTTTTCCCTAAGTCTTTTTCTTGCGCTGTTATGCTTGCGAGTAAAGGTACGTTGCACATCTCTCTTCCCGCTGTAAATTAAGAGTTTGCTTTTTTTTTTTTTTTTTTAAAGAATAACTTACAAACGCATCTCGGGTCTCTTTCTTTCTTCAGCGATATCACTGGCGTGCTTAATTTTGCACAACGAAAATGGAGCAAACGGGAGGGGGGAGAAAAGGAGGTTCTTTAGGACTCCGGTGAACCTCGTGCTTTACAAACCCCAGGTTTTTTTTTTCCCCCCCGTTTTCATGTAAAAAACGCTTTAATTCAACGTATCTCTCCAGTTCGAACAGCCGGAGATAATTTCTAAAGAAACTGCCCCGCCCTCTTCGCAGATTTATCTAATTACACCAAACTTTCCAAAGATTGCTCCATTTCACTTTTTCCTACAGGAGTTCTGCTTTTTTTTTTTTTTTTTTTTAAAGAGCTGATTGCAAAGTGACTTACAATCCTATGGCTGTAGTGGCTAGATTAGAACTGGATTTGTTTTGCCCTGTGTACGGGTTGCTATTACTGACTCAAAGAGATGGTTTTTTAATGTTGTTCCTTCCAGAGACCACAGCATGACACCCCTTCCCAACTCTGATTTTTTAGAATTTCCTTTCTTGCTTCTTCTTTTTTGGGGGGGGGTGGGTTAAGAAGGAAGAAATACATTTGTGATTTTAGTTTTCATAGCTTACTTGGTACTTTAGAGGAAGAATAGAAGAAATCTGTTTCTTTTTACAACCTGTGTGCTAAAACTCTGTTCCTCTCCCTTTTGTGGGGAGGGTCTTTCTTAACAGGTGACTCTAACATCAGGCCAGTTCGAGTTTGAGATCATATCCATGCAAAATATAAACGGCGAATTGCAAAATGGAAATTGTTGTGATGGGACCCGAAACCCAATTGATAAAAAATGCACCAGAGATGAATGTGATACCTATTTCAAAGTTTGCCTGAAGGAGTATCAGTCCCGCGTTTCTGCTGAGGGCGCTTGCAGTTTTGGATTTGGATCTACCCCCGTCATCGGTGGGAATACCTTTAATTTAAGATACAGCCGGAATAAGGAAAGGAACCGGATTGTCCTCCCTTTCAGTTTTGCCTGGCCGGTGAGTGAAGCACTTAAGGCATCCTGCCACATTTTGTGTGTATGTGTGTGTGTAAAGTGCTGGCTGCCTTCAGTATTCTTGGTGGAGTTCTTGGCTTCCCTTTCTCTTTTCTGTCCAGCCAAAGAACAAGGATTTGGCAAGCATGCACAAACCTTCCTAGGCTAGAGACCTCTACTGCTTGGTCCGATTTTGTTTAAGAGAAATAGGAGGTTCAGGTAGCTTGTGCCACCTGAAGTATAAATGTACTCTCTCTGCATTTGCTCTACGCTCTTTGAAAATATGCACCAGTTTCCTTGAGAATTACAAAGGTCACAAGTTCATGTTACCGATTTTATTTTTCTTCCCAATTAGTTCTTGTGCCCAGAAAAAAAAGGGAGGGGCAATGCCTCTCCTGGTCCCTGGGTGAAATGTAGCTTGCCAGAAAAGGGCATGCTTGGGGAGTCCTCCCTAAAGGCTTCTCTGTATTCTCCCTGGTACTCATTGGAGCTCTTTGCAGTGCCATCTTCTCAAAGAATCTTGAATGCTTATAAAGCCGGATGAAAGCCAGAGACCCACCTTGCAATCTTCTGATCTCCCCTTGCAAGCCACCATTGCTGCTGGCCAGGCAAAAAAATCTCTCTCTCCTGGAATCATGGGTTCTTTGAGGTTAAGTGGGATGGATATCTATTCTAAAACACAAGGATTTACATTGGGGAAGGTTTGAACTTTAACTTTTGGAGCAGGCCCAAGAAGTAATATTGGCTGTAAATAATCCAGTCCTTAAATAAGTGATGAATCCATCTGTACCTTATGCATATATCACTTGTTCTTGATGAAGCTTCTTTGCAGTTGAGGATGTTGATTAATCTATTTCAGAATATGCTATCTTTTGCTCAGGGCCAAAGCTGAACAGTATTTTAAAATGAAACAAAACAGCAACAACTTGGGCCAAACATGTGGGTTTCATCTAACATCCTTGTTGAAGATGCTGAACGGTTGTACCTTGCGAGTGGTTTCAAGGAGTATGTCCTGGTTACTTTGAAATCCTGAAGAGGATCTGCCTCGCCTTGAAGAGGGTCCCCCCCCCTTCCCATTGGTTCTTTGGAAGAGATGCAACACTGAGGTCTCAGACACAAGATTGTGTTTTCTTATTGGCTCAGATTACTAAATTGGAGACTGTGGAGGAATCAATGGGAGGGATGCCCAAGCCACCGCCTCTTCTTCTCTAGTAGTTCCGAGCAGAATTTGCCAAATGCTGTTGTACTGCCTCCTGTCTGCCTGTGTAGTAAAAAATTTTCAGCTCACTCATTTTTCTCAGCGTTTTCCCCCTCCCAACTTTTTTTCTTTGTTTTTTTTGGGGGGTGGGTGGGAAGGAAGGGATTGAAACCAACTGCATGTACTTAAAAAGATGTGACTAAGTACAAAAATGTTCTCTATTCAGGGCTGTATAAGCCTAGGGGTTGAATTTTACTGGGAATAATATAAAGCCATGCCAACCATGCCATCAAAGGGGTACATTTTTTGAAGGGTGGTGTTTGACAGTGGTCAGGTATTACCACATTTTTATTAAAAATTCAGACTTTTTCTCTTTAAATTGAGGGAAGTCTGTTGAGGATGCCTTGTTAGGAAACCTGTCTCAGGTGTTGTAAAACAAATTGTTTCTGCCTCATTACCAAACAGTGACTTGCACTTTTGCAAAAGGGAGCAAGGATTGAAAATGGTTTGTTCTAGGAAATTTGGTAGAATACAGCCCCACATATAACTTATAGCACAATCCCTGTCTATATTTGGAACCAAGTCTGACTGAGGTCAGTGGAGCTTACTTCCAGATAAATCACTATAAAAATTGAACCTTTGATCTGGAAAGAAAGTGGAGATTATTTAAAAGTAAAATGCACTTGTCTGCCTCTCTTTATGTTCCAGCATGGCCATGTGCTTTTCTTTCCAACTCATTCAGAAACACCAGCCTACCTTTTCTAGGAAGCATTTTGAATTAGGCACGACTTAATCTTATAGTAAGCCCTTTGTCTCACCAGGCTCCTTAGTAGGTCTGTTTCTAAAAGCACTAGCTGTTTATTTTTTAATTTGCCAGATAAAGCATTTCTTACCTAAGCATTATGGTGGACAGTATATGCAGATAAAAAGACACACCAAAATCGATTTAGGGTTGGCAAAACATTTCTGAATCAGAAATCTGATTCAAATTAAAGCTAGTTTCTACAGCGTGGACAGAGTTTGTGTTTTCCTCTAGTGCTCCTGAGGCGTGGTGCTTTTTTCCTCCCTTTCATCCATCTAGCTGGGCGTATTTGTTTTCCTATCACAGCTCTCACTTTTGTTGTTACCTGTCTTCTGCAGGCGTGCTTCAGGCCTCATGCTACCTCTTGTTCGCTAAGTGTTAGGCATGGCCAAGTCATCTGCAGGCATGTTTTGGGATATTGAGCTACAAAGGCAATCCATGGCCTAACTTGCACAATTCTAAACTTGTTAACCAAGGAAGTTGTTCTTGAGACTTGGGTTAGGTGTCTACTCTGTTACTCATAGAACAGTTATTGCTTTCTTTTTGATGATGCGTGGGTAAACTTCCTAGCCTGTAACAAACTGGGCAGGTCTTTGAAAGTTGGTGGAAGCCAATGCTTAATAATAATAATAATAATGATAAAGTTGGAAGGGACCTCAGAGGTCATCTAGTCCAACCTCCTGCTCAGGCAGGAAACGCTATACCATTTCGGACAAATGGCTGTCCAGTTTCTTCTTAAAAACTTCCAGTATTGGCGCATTCACCGCTTCTGGAGGCAGGTTGTTCCACTGGTTAATTGAGACATATAAGTATGACTTGCTATTGCTTTAAGTAATGTTGTGGGAAGCCTCTCTAGCTTGTTTTTAACAAAATCTTGCATCTTCTATTTACTAAAAATGTATCTCCCTGTGGTCTTTTCAGAAACTACACTTGCTGCAATAATATTGCGTGACACAGCAATATGTCTACCACTCCCCCCCCCCCCAATAAGCCACACAGAATAGAATCCTTGTTTTCTTTGAGTGAAGCAAAACAGGGTTCATTTTAAAGGGTGATCAGGAAGTAGGTTTGAAATTTGGTTGTTAAAACTTCCCATTGCTTGGTGTGGATTTTGATGTGAACTGGATGAGTAATGATTGTGGGTACAGAGGGCTGTAAATTTCCTTTTAAGAGATTGGAGATTTGAATTAGTTGCTAGGAAACAGGACAGCAAATCAGCAGGAAGGAAATAAAGGGAGCCATCCAGAATACCACACCTGCAATCATGGCTAAAATTAAGCTGGAAAAAAAATGGAATTTAGAAAGCTTAACCAACACTTCAGCCAAGGAGCAGTCTCTGTAATGATAAAATCTCACAAGGATGCTTAGTCTCTAAAGAGACCCTATTCTTAGCTCTTATTCCTTAGAATGCACTTGTTTAAAGACCTCCATCCAATGCATAAGTAGATTTATCTACTCCAATATTTGAATTGCATTGATCCATTGAAAGAAGCAGCCATTATTTATTAAATGAGGTGGAGCATTAAAAGTTTGCGTTTTGTTACAAGGAGAGGGTCCCCATCTCTCTCTGTGTCCCAGGAGTTTTTTTGGCTTTTCTAAAATATATTCCTCAGAGCTTGAAACCGTCCCTTTTTATCCCTGAAGAATTTGCTGATGTATAAAGTGTATCAGCCTGTTGGATTTGGAATGGAGTGCTAAAGTACTTTGGCTGGTCGCTGAAAAAAGTTTAAGATAGAAGTTTTAAAATGTCTGATGCTTGCATGAACTTTTGGGTTGGAAAAACCTTGGAAGCAGGCCAGCTGATCATTTCCAAAGATTCTTGAAAGTAGCTTGCAAGTGGTAAGATTCCTTCAGAATCTGTTGTTGAGGAAAACTATCATTTTGCTGAGTTATGCTAGGCTTTTATTTGTAGTCAGTCCTCCTAAAAGCCTTTTGTCTGGTCTATCAAAAGGGCCTCTGACCCTAAGGAGGAAGGAAAAAGAAAAGCTATCAGATTATCTCTGAGCTTGTGAATGCTTTCCCATTCAGACTTTGCAAGACCAGTCACTCCACTTAAAGTAACTTTCTGAAAGTGAAATTTGCAGCACCGAGCATAGAATTAAGCAATGTTGAGCAAACCTACATGCACTAAAAGCACTGAGTACATCGTGGGAAAGACTGTGAAAATACTCGTTATTTTTAATGAGAGGCTACAGTGGAGCAGGTAATTGTTTGCATGGAGTTGGTTACTTTTCAAACACTTCATCCGTGTTGGATTGCAGCTCATTGGGCGAGGTTGGTAACCCACAATGTGCAATGCTTTATAATCTGATTGAATTTTTTTTTTACACTCTTTGCCCATGTGTTTAACTTGGAATGTATGCATTTTTAAAACAAGAACTGATTTGTTTATTCCCAGATCCTCATGCAGCAAAAACAAAGGCCCACTGTAGGTAAATAAGTATACAGTTTTAAAGAGAACCCAATTCTGGTAGAAGATTGGACTGTTTCTTCAAAAATCAACGTAGGTTATGCATTTATGTACACTAGCAAATAAATGCTTTGGGTCACTTCTGATCAGGCTGAAAGTCCATCAGCTTTTGCTCTTGGATAAGAACATGAGCAACCTCTGCTGTTAGAAAGAACACAGCAGGGGTTTTTTTTGGGTGGTTGTTGTTTTAAAAAAGTGCAATATTCCACCAGTGATATTACGCTCATCATGCTGAGGTTAGAAGACTTAGACTGAGTAGTTAAGTGCCTTATTGTAATATGAGATTGCATTGGAAATGAACTGGGTGGAATGAGAAAGTGCCAAAAGAAAGCTAAAGTAAGATGTAGTGGAGAAATTGAATCATGCCATGCAAATGGTCCAACATGTTATGAAATGGATAAATTAGCCTAAGTAAATGCCCCAATCTTTTGCATGGTTTTCTTATGGAGAACACAAGAAACCACTACCTCTTCTTTCTCTCCTTTTCTCTCTGTTTGAGGCTTACTGGGTGCAACTCTTTAAGTTTTTGCTTGG